GTCAGTACACAATTATAATCTCTATTTAACAATGTGGGAACCAAATTTTGAAAAAATTGCTGAAGATTTATCGCAACAAATATCCCATTAAATTTTGTTAGAAATTATTGTAGAATAATTTAAATTTTCTTTATCGTTAATTATAATTATTTATTTTTAGGAAATGTAATTTATGCATGTATTGAAATGACTTTTGTGATTTTATATAATATACTTATCAAATAATAATAAATAAATGTATATACCTGATTAAATTTATTATTATTTACGTAAAATAAGTAATTCACTTTTAATTATAGTTAGAGTTTTTTTATGGTGCTCAGTTATAAGGGCTGTATACATCTAATGCAGTAATTATAAAATTTACATACAAAAATATAAGGGGTACTTGAAAAACAATTAATGGGCTAATAGGGTACATCAACAAAAAAGGTTGAGAACCACTGCAGTAGAGCATCGATTATCTGACCCCCCAATTAATCGTCACATCATTATCAGACCATTCTAGTCGGCAAATTTCAAATGTCTGCTAGTGATGTGGCANTAGTGCCGAGTGAACCTGTAGTCTAGTAAAATTACGATTTAACCAATTATTAATTTTAGAATAGAAAAAAAAATTTTTTTCTATTCTATAATTATTGCTTGATAAGATTGGGCTTTTCGTGTTTTTACTAGACTACTGGTATTAGGAATAACGAGGCCTGGATCATACCCTCACCATGCAATGCGTGTCACTGCACGTGCGCATTACTTGATATTTAGCAAATTTAGACATTACATTTGTTACAAAAATTGAAAGATTCTATTATTGTTATGCACGTTATAAATTCGTAGCTATTACTTTCAAGGTCAGTACACAATTATAATCTCTATTTAACAACGTGGGAACCAAATTTTGAAAAAATTGCTGAAGATTTATTGCAACGAATATCCCATTAAATTTTGTTAGAAATTATTGTAGAATAATTTAAATTTTCTTTATCGTTAATTATAATTATTTATTTTTAGGAAATGTAATTTATGCATGTATTGAAATGACTTTTGTGGTTTTATATAATATACTTATCAAATAATAATAAATAAATGTATATACCTGATTAAATTTATTATTATTTACGTAAAATAAGTAATTCACTTTTAATTATAGTTAGAGTTTTTTTATGGTGCTCAGTTATAAGGGCTGTATACATCTAATGCAGTAATTATAAAATTTACATACAAAAATATAAGGGGTACTTGAAAAACAATTAATGGGCTAATAGGGTACATCAACAAAAAAGGTTGAGAACCACTGCAGTAGAGCATCGATTATCTGACCCCCCAATTAATCGTCACATCATTATCAGACCATTCTAGTCGGCAAATTTCAAATGTCTGCTAGTGATGTGGCACTACAATATTTAGCTATGTCTTGGCTACTTTAATATTATTTTCGTTAAATTTTTGCGTGTTTTAGATGGCAACATCGACTCGACCATTGAAGGGAGGCCAGTATTTAAACAAGGCTTAATTTTCTAATTATGAGTGGTTGTTTGTTTTGTGAGCAACAAAATAATTTTTAACGATACGATTATTATTATTATTAAAAAAAAAAATTGTTAGGGTTAACATCGATGAAAATTCAACACAAAGTTGGTTAATAGCTATATACTAATTACATGGGATATACTAATATACAGTAGACCCCTATAACGCGAAGATACATTCCTCGTTATACGAATTTCGCATTGTAGGAATCCTTGGGCTGTGATTGGCTCACGTATTTGACACGTGTGAAGTTTACGGACTACGGCTGTTTGAAAGG